GTAATGTGTTAGGGATGAGACATTCCACTTGATAATAAAAATCTAGGAGCAAGATCCATGGCTCAATCAGGAAAGTGCCAGCCCATGGTAGAACCATGAAGACATGAACTATAACTCCATCATTTACATAGAAGCCAGGCATGGTGGTATGTATAAATAACCTGAGTGCTAACAGGTGAGGGCACTGAGATTGGTGAATCCCTGGAGTGCCCTGACCAGTCAGTTGGCTACTCAATAGGTTTAGGTTCAGTCATTGTCTCAAAAGATAAGGTGGGGAGTAAATTAAAGAAGACAACTGACATGAACATCTAACCTCTACATGGACCCAGACACATAGGCAAGTGTACCTGCATGCACATAAAACACATACTCACATATGTACATCAGAGAAAGAGAGAGAGAGAGAGAAGAGAGAGAGAGAGAGAGAGAGAGAGAGAGAGAGAGAGAGAGAGAGAGAATTCACATCATATCTAGTAAGGTCATGAAGCATTTGGTCTTTACTAAAGAATAAGTACAGCCCTGCACCTTGATGGAGATAACAAATTGCATACCAAAACTTACACTGATCTGTCTTGTTAATGCTTTATTAACTATTTTAGTTTCAAGAGCCACTGGAGAATGCTAATGCACAAACAACTGAAAGATCTATTGTTCTATGTTATTTATACTATCCATATATATAATATCTTTGTTCTTCCTTGCAGTAATAATTATCCAATGACATTTTCCTTAATCTACTCTAGAGTGGTCATTAAATTTCTGAATACATTATGTTAAAACAGAACTTTTAAATTCAGTCAAATTTATTGAGCTTCTAAAGAATATATTTGTATATCTATTAATCAAATGAAAGTTTAGATTTCTGAAAAAAATGTACACCAAGATAAGATAGCTTTTACTTTCAATGAATATTCTAGAATTGAAAATGAGGCCTCTTTCCTATTCTCTATTTTTCATGAAAAATCCTCAAACTACAGAATGAACAAACAACTAGTCAATTATGTATCTACCATTTTGTAAAACTGAGTTTTGATGAGGCAGACTTTAGTTAGACATAGTATCAAGAAAATGATAGAAATTGATTATCTAAGTAATTAATGCATATTAAAGCTGGTTTAAACGAGGCAAACTTTGAGTGGTTCTGACTCTTGATTCCATCCCATAGACCAGTCCTCTGGAACTGCTGCCTTTTTTGTGTATTTGATCTATGTATCTTCTGACAGGAGTTGGGAGTCATTGATGCTAATCATTGCCCTGTACCACACAGTAACCACATAGATATTTGGACTATGTAGGAGTCACCTGATTTCTTGCTACCTTTCCAATATGAAGAGGTGGTCTGAACTCCACTACTCTGATCAAACACTCCGTCATGTCAGGAACATGCCACTGAACGCAATGCAGGCAGACCTCAGCTTGTAACAGAATCAAGTCCCAGGAATCCTGCTACAAGCTGGCAATGCAGTAGGATGTAGGTGTACTTAATGAACCTGACCTGCTGGGCTTTGTATCTTAGTGACACATTACCACATGGCATTTTATCCATACCCCTAGCAGATGTGTGATTGACTGGGAGCTGCAGGTCACTGCCATTACGAGCATCATAAGAGAATAACTTGTGATAGCTTTGACAAACTCTTGAAAAAGCCTTAAAACTGGTTGGAATGATTCAAAGATAAATAATATGCAACTGTTGATAAGTTAAAATTACATGTGAAGTAAGTAAAAAACAAAACAAACAATAAAATTTAAAACACCGGATGGCTTAAGAGGTAAAGGTGCTACTGCTAAGCCTAAGACCCGAGTTTGATCTCTGATCTCTGGGACCCACAAGGTAGAAGGAGAGACTCTGCTCCAGTAAGTTTCCTCGGACCTCAAAAAACACACCAAGACACATGTGTTCACAAGTGTGTGTATTCACATATACCCACAACATACACACACAGATAGAACACCAAGATATGTGTGTTCACAAGTGTATGTACTCACATTTACCCACAACATACACACACAGCACAGAACACACCAAACACATGTGCTTGGGAGTGTGTGTGTGTGTGTGTGTGTGTGTTTGTGTATATTCACATATACCCACAACATACACACACACAGCACAGAACACACACAGACACATGTGCTCACGAGTGTGTGTGTATTCACATATACCCAAAACATATACACACAGCACAGAATACACACATACACACACACACACACACGACATACATACATATACACACACAGGACAGAACACACCAAGACGTGCACTTATGCATGTGTGTATTCACATATACCCAAAACATAGCACAGAATACACATACACACACACACATACACACACACAACACACACACATGACATACATACATATACACACAGGACAGAACACACCAAGATGTGTGCTCATGCATATACCCAAAACATACACACATAGCAGCACAGAACACACACACACATACAAACACACACCAATACACTATATATGTATATGTATATGTATATATATAAGTATATATATACACAACACACATAATTAACTAAAACTTTAAAGGATTATTAGATCCACTGTTGTATCCTAGAATATTGGTCGAGTTCTTAAATAATTTTGCTCTCCACACCGCCGTAAGAGCTCTCACCTAAACATAACTAACTATATAACTTCTTGAAGGTGCCTTATAATCATTCAAGGTCAATGTCTGAAAGATGGGACTTCACAGGTCATGGAACAAAGTCATTAGAAAATGGCTCTGTCACCATGAATGAAAAGATGGACTATTTCAGTGGTTAAAAACTACCATTTTAAGGTTCTGGTAATTGATTAAAATCAACCAACAAGTTGAGACATACTTATTCCTGAGAAAATGTTTGTGTGGGAAGAACTGGTGTCTTCTCTGAGGTTCCTGATGTTCTGCTCCCTTCGGGCCCCTGTAGTGTTATAGTTATTCTGTCCTGGACAAGACACTGTACTCAGTGTCTTCATACATTGATGAATATGACAGAGCATGTTGAAATGAAAGAGTGTAAATTCTGTCATTACATTTGACTCTTTATGGGCCAATGGGAACAAAACACTCTAGCTTTGTACATAACCTTGAAGCTCTAAAACAAAATGAAGTTTTGCATAATTTCTATTTTAACTAATTGACTTGAAGTAGTTAAATGCATACGAAAATAATTTCAGGTGACAACTGTGCAAATGATGAGATTGGAGAGCCATTACTGGCCAGCTCTAATCCTTCCTGAGTGCTCAATACCAAACACTGTGTACATCAGGTCTGCTGTCTGTGAGGAGAAAACCTCAAGATGACTATTTGACATCAAAGTTCATGATAATTTGTAATGACATATTACACACACAGAGAGACACACACAGACACACAGACACACACGCTCATCCTCTGACCTCTCATGCTGTCCTCTTACCTCTCATACTGTCTTCTAACTTCCTGTTCTGTACTGATAGAGTGTATGCTCTTAAGAACTTGTCCTACAAAGCCAAATGCTCAAAGGGGGAAATACGAGCTGTTACATGTTTTTTAAATCAATATGCCTTATATTTTTGAAACACATGCACATCTATACTCATTTCCAAAGAAACTCTCACATTCTAACTACTTTATATACACAAACTAAGGAATAAATTTGACTGACTTGAAAGCATAAAAGAATTTTAAAAGAAAAATATTACCAGAGTAATGGAGACATGAAATTTAAAAGACATGATTGAGTTTATGTAAAATCTCTAGCAGCTTAATTTAAAAGAGAGAGAGAGAAGTAATTCTAAATCACAAAGTCCTACAAATGTCACATCATAAGCAAAAAAGTTTCACATATAATACCAGTTAAGTGCAAATCTATGTAATACAAAAATACGCATCCTCACGGTTCAGCATGCATAAGGTCACACGCTTCTCCTTTGACTGCTGAAGAATTTAGAGGTCCTGTCTTCCAATCTTAAACACTTGGGTTACAGTGCAACCCTCCAGATAGTAGTTAAGTCATGTTAGTTCCGTGGTGGCCCTAGCATATTTACTGTGCTCTTCCTCTTCCTGGGTATCCATAGTGACATCTGTGTTCCTTTTCTGAAATTAGATTTCATCTTTGCATTCATATTTCTCCCATTAGTACTGAAAGATTATTTTTGAAAGCAGTCTATGGCAATAAAACATATTTTATATGGCTGAGATGTTCATGCCAGGCTTCTACACCTTCCTCAAATGGGTGTCAAAACTGATGACAGAACTCTACTGAACAATGAAAATGCCAGAAGACATGAAAGGTGTAGAACAGAAGACATCAGAAGCCTCTTGTTAGTGGAAAACACAGCAATTGCAACAAAAAATGCAGGCATGCATCTGTCCCTCCACTGGGGACTCAGACCCAAAAAGAAAGTGGAGCTAATGATAAGACAGACAGGAAGCAGCAGAAAACAGCCCTCAGTGGAGACCAGAAACCTCTTCTAAGATGATCTCTGTCGCTTTTATATTCACACATGTCCTTGCTGACAGACAATTTGAATGAGACACCTTTTCTTTCCATTATGGCTTCCGTTTAAGTTCTGATTTAACTACTGTGGAAGTTAATCAAGATATGACTTGGTGCATAGCATTTAAAATGTTGGCAGAGTTGTAATATCATATCTGAAGTATCAGAGCAACTCTGCCTTTCTGATGGGGAATGCCAACCATGGGCAGTCTGGAGAGATTTTGCTTGTCTAGTGACCTAGTGTTATTTTGTACATACCAAAACATGACAAGAAAATGTGTTCTTTATGGGTGCCTTAGTTATGTGGAGCCATTTAACTCAAGATGAAACATTAACAGAGTATGTTTTCCAGGCATTTTACTGGATGTATGCATGGCGGCATTTCCTTTGATTGCCCCAAATGAGTAGAGGGAATGCTTCAAATTTAAAATGCGGAAATATGAAGAAATCATTAAGTGTTTGGTCTTCTAGTGAGTCAACTTTAACATGAAAAGAATTTAAGGCCTATGCAATACCTTCTCATGCAGTCCAAGGCTCGGATGAAAAAGTCCTTGTGCAGTTGATGCTCATCTCTCAGGATGGAGCACTGTTCCAGGGTCACTGACATCGATGTCCTGTCTTTGGCACTTTTACAACAGGTAAAGCGAATACCATTGAGCTTGCGACAAATCTGCAAGACACAAGTGAAAACAAGGAATCATGGTGCTTCCATCCACCCTAAAAATTTTATTAAACACATTGCCTTTTCCTCTTCTAAGCTAGCAGGCTAGCTTTAACTTGTTTATTGCTTTGAGTGGGAGTTCTGGGGCTATCAGCACCACCATATGAGATGTCACAGACCACACAGAGGAGGCCTGCAGGGTCCTGATTTGCATAAATACCACTCAGGGGCAACAGCTGGGCTGAAAAATGAAGCTAGCCATATTGTTCCTAGGCTGGACACTTGAAAGTGCCCCTAAAGTCAGTATGTTTTAAGATCAACCAGGCAAAATCTTTTATCGTTGGTATGAGAGGGTCCCATGAAGTCCCACCCCTAACTGAGGAGTTGGAAACTGATGACTGCTGGGGAAGGGAGAGTCAGTTTTCACTATAGTTTCTGTAGGTAAGCGGCTATTCATGCTCTGCAGATGCCTCTGCACATTCCCATGTAGACAGCAATGAGTGAATGCAGTGGGCTCACAAAGGAGCACGGGACATCTGGAGAGGAAAGCGGTGGTGTAGGTAGAGACGAAAGATCACGGGAAGTGATTAGGGGCAGATTTGATAAAAACACATTATATGCAAGGTATGAAATTCTCCAATAAGAAAAGATATTAAAATCAGCTATTGAAAATAAAAAATAATTTTTCTGGGCTTGAATTTATGTTTCAAAAATATCTGAATTTATGTTTGAAAATATCTGCATAGATAAGGGGCCCACTGGCAATATTGGGAGCATTAAACTGGCTACTATTACCTCACATTGATTGTCACACAGCACATGGTTGTAAGGGACTGATGGATATCCACACAGCACATGGTTCTAAGTGACTGACGGATATGATCTTGTGATGAATCGAGCTTAAGCCCTAGTGGATGTCAGGAATGCCCTCACTTTACAGTGGGGAAAATTAAGATTTTATGTAAACTGTGTAACCTGTACCCAGCAGGACAGGAACAGGCTGCAAATCCAGGTCTGCCTAAGTCCAAACACCAAAGGGTTTAATTTCTGTATGTCTGGTGTTCCCTTGTGAATCTTGTTACTGTAAGGCAGGTATCTGTTGCTAACTCAGGAATGCCCGATTTTAACATTGTCTTCTGCTGAACAGGTGGCCCCTTCTGTCCCTTTTTCTTCTGGCCCATGATGGTTTCTGAGATGAGAAACCAATCATTAACTACAGCATCAGTAATGCTAATCAATGTGCCTTTAAGATAAATTCAATGTGATGCAACAACCATCTACTTTATTATCTGTAATCAACGAGGCCTTAAAAGTGACTGCTTGGAGAAAAAACATTAAAACAGTTTTTTGTTGAGGGTTTTTTCCCACTGTATTTTAATTGTAATTTTGGTACATAAATTAAGATTTATATGTCCCTGTTAATTCATATTTTTACTCCTTTCTATTTCCAATAAAAGTAGCTACAGAAAAATGAGAGTATGATTTTACCATATAATCTCTTTTTACTTAGGAAATTTAATTCTTCCAAATAGATAGTATTTCACATTTTCAAAAGCTGACTATTCACAGTCATAAAAAGACCTTAATGGATACTTTTGAGATATAATTTTTAAAAGAATTAATATTCTTTAAACTATATTGCTACATTCATATGTACCTCTCCTGCTTGAGATAGTGTTCTGCATTTATAGCCAAGGGGAGGTGGGCTGTTTCTCCACAGTCGGCAAGAAAAGTCTTGATTTCAACCTCTCTACAGCTTGTGAATGATGCAAGCTTCCTCATAATACTCAAATAGCATTTGGTTTCTTAAAGTTTTCCTTTTCATTATTTTAATTAGATCAATAAAAAATAAATAAAGTGTGTTTTAATAAGACTGTGAAACACTGAAAAAGGCAGTATTTCATTAGACAGGATAAAGGCAAGAAAGAGGGAAACAGAAATAAAGCCTTTGGTAATATCAAGGAGGATTCCTGTGTTTTCTCATTTTAAGGTTATTATGAAGCTGTTCTGGTTAGAAAGGTGATATTGAAATGGAGTCTTCAACTTACCGCAACACTAGGGAATATACAGTCAAGTGTGAATTGTATAAGAACCTTGTGTGACTGGCATACATGCCAGAAAAACAATTTGGAAATAAGAAAAATTGATGGGAAATGAGAAAAAGAGTGTGCCCAGAGAAGATGCACATTCATGTTGTCATAAATCTGTCATTGCTTATCTTTTTAGATGATTTTACCTCATGTATACAATGTCATGCTCATATGGTCTCCAGACATTGGATGCCCTTGCAAATGATCGGACTTCCTGGATGCTGTCCTCAGCAAAAATGCAAAAGCTTACCAGAGTGAAATTTTAGTGGATTAATAATTATGGTGGCATCTGAACATACACAAAACTGTAACTGGTGTGGTGCTGAGTGTGACCAGCATAAGCGGCCTGCCCTAAAGCAGTGTTTCCTGGATTTGTGGCCTATGATGTTCTTTCCAAACACATCGGGGAGGCGTGGAGGAGCTTTCCTCTGTCTTCTTCCTTGGTTGTTTTCTGTGGTTTCATGGCAAATTATTCCTTCCTTGTTTTCCAGTAGTGACTAAGTAACACTGGTAATAGTAGGAAGGCTGATTTAAAAGCTGTTGATGGAGCATAAATAATGCATGCTGCAGGGCTAATGAGTGTGACCACTGAATGGTAGGAGTGACACAGCCAAGGCTGCAAATATAAACTCATCACAGAGATCTCCAGGGCGCTTTTCCTGGTGAAATGATGCTTTCCCAAAGAAAGTTCCTGGGATCTGAGACTTTAATATGATTCATACATTTAATATGAGCTCTGTTTCCAGTTGCCAAGGAAGAGCCTAAAAACACAGGCATGTTTCTCTCCCTAATTCTTGTGGAAGTCTAGGCGGGAAAGCACAGAGCTTCCCCCCACCCCCGAGGGTGCTATTGAGTGAGAGAGAGAACCAAGCACAGTTCAGCTCCTTACCCCATGCAATCAATCAGTAAGAAATTCTATGCCAATAGCTAAATTAACAAATGCATTTACAAGCTCATTAACGGAAAAGTATGTCCACGGGTCTTAAGCCAGGGATCTGGCAACCACACAACTGGAATCACATGTCTCTAGGGTGGCCGTTCAAAATTTGATTTCCGTATAACCTTGACAATAGTCCATAGCGTGCAACACCCAGAGAATCACAGATACATCTTTTCGACATTGGAATGGCAAGCCTGCCCAAAGTTGGTGAGGAGGGTCAATGAGAAGTATTTTCCATGTTGAGTTCATCTTTCCCCATCTCTATTGATGAGATTATCCACAAAGCAACGACGCCTTGTTAACTGGATAATGCAATATGAAACCTAGGAACCAAAGCGCGGGGCTGAGACCCTACACCACATGTCTCCGACAACGCTTGCTGGTCACGTGCAGGGGCAAAGATGGACACGTGTGCTTACTGTTGCTGCCAGCCACATGATTTCTACGTTCTTTCTTTTCTTGGCTTGAATATTTTGATGGAGATTGTCCAACAATCCTTTCAAATCATTTTGTTCTTGAAAATGTGAAATATCTAAAGGAGAAAAAAAAAACAAAGGAGAAAACCATGAAACAGGGTCATCATGAAGCTTCCTATGGAGTTTTCTTGCAACGTTTCTGAAATCGCAACTTTCAAAACAAGGAATGTCCTTTGGAGGAAAGAGCACACAAAGGAAATGATACTAATCTCTTCAGCTCTATCCTTTCCCTGAATGCGTGCTTCAGTTTCCTCTCTATTCTATTTAACTATGGTAATATCAAAGTGCCCATGAAACAACAAAGAAAACATGTTCCATGTAAGTCAGAGATGTCTTAACATAGCATCTTTTTTTTTTTTTTGTCACTAAGAAGCTAGCATGGACCAAGGCAAACATTAGGTTGGACATCATGCATGAGAGGAATCTGAAAATTCAATTTATAAATATGAAGTCAGTTTTTAAACAGTTTTCCCCATCTTAATGCTATTGCCTTTTTGGAGGGAACGACTGACTATTACAGGATTTCCAACTGCTTCTGTGAACTATTCTATTCAGACACCGGAAGCACTCTTTCCACTTTGACAGTGAGAACTGTATTTGAGCACTGCCAAATGTTTACTACGGGAAGAGGAAGAGCTACTGCTGTCCAGGAGCACATGCGTGACAGGGAAGTGGGCCTGCACAGGAGAGACCTGGAGAAGGACAAGGGACACGCTGCTGCTGAGATGCGTGCATACTAACAGCTGCAGCCTGGGTAGCAAACGGACCCCACTGTACACTAAAGACGAAGGCAGCGTGCAGCCAGGAGGCAAATGTCCCTGACACTTGATGAGTCAATGAAGGGCCAAAGATACTCCTTAAAACAGCGCTGGATCTGTAATGCATGGTACGAGAGGTACTAGGTAGCTCACAAACTGAGGCATGGGGAGCTTCCGAGATCCCAGACTAAGGCTAAAAGACAGGAGGTACACAATACCCAATGGCCAAATCTAGTTTATCCAATTACATAGAAGACACTGAACAGGCAGTCCCAATTCTAATCAGAAAACTAACCCAGGTTTGCTTTAGCAGTGTTGAGAGTATGCAATTTCTAAGTTTGAACCCAATGCTTCATTAGCCAAATGACATGTGTGAGTAGTCCCTGATACTGTTTCCAGAGAATTGCCAAAGTACCTCAGGGAAGCATGCAGGCAATATATATACACCAATGACCACACCCGGTTGTGAGGGGACATGTCTGGTATCACGAGAATAGAATAAAGTGAGTATTAATTCTTCCATTACGTATCCCAAGTTACAGAAGATTAAAAACATCTATGTGAAATATACACATGATTTCACTGAATGACATAAGTTTCAAATGTCAAACTTTCATCATAGAACTGAAACTGATTCTCAAAGAAAAGATTGACACCAAACACTCTCGTAGTTAGGGCTACTATTGCTGGGATAAGACACCATTGCCAAAAGCAACTGGGGAAAGAAAGAGATAGTTTTGCATATACATCTGCATTACAGTCTAACACAGAAGGAAGTCAGGGCAGGAATTGAAAACAGAATCTAGAGGGAGGAACTGAAGCATAGACTACAGAGGAACACTGCTACTGGCTTATTCTCTACGACTTACACAGCCTTCTTTCTTATACCATTTACTGCTACTGGCTTATTCCATATGGCTTGCACAGCCTTCTTTCTTATACCATTTAGTGTACCTTTCTCACCCCAGTGAGCTAGGCTTACATACATCAATCATTAATTGAGGAAATGCACCACTGATTTGCCTATATGTGGTGATATATTGTTTATGATTCAACAAAGACACTGAAGATCAGAGAAGCAAAGCAGCCAGCCACCGCTCTTACCTCTACCTCAGGCTGGTTTGTGGTGGTGGTGGTGGTTGTGGGGGCTGCGTGATCTTGGTACCAGGAACCCTTGGTGTGACTGGAGATTGAATGCCAGGTCTGAGACCCGGAAGACTAATTGCCTAAAACTGAATACTGAATGCCCTGTTCCTATCTTACACACCTCTCTAGTGTTGGGGCTAAAGGTATGAGTTCTGTTTCTGTTTTGGACTGATTCACTTTCATGTATCCCTGGGTAGCCTTGAACTCATAGAGATCCATCTGCCTCTATCTCCTGAGTCCTAAGATTAAAGGTGTGTATCTCCATTGTCCCTATTCTATTGCTGTCTAGTGTAACTAGCTTTGCACTCTGATCTTCAGTGGACTTATTAGCTCATAAGCAATATACCACCATACTTAAAGGCAAACCTTATAGAGACATTGGCTCAACTGGGAGTCCGTCTTCTCAAATGACGTTAGCTTGTGACATGTTAACAAAAACAAACAAACAAAACAACAACAACAAAATGAAATCAGGCAACATCACATTGCCAGGTAGACTACCCTCAGTCACACGCCAGTGTTTATACAGAATGATTAGAAACACTTAGAAATTAACCAGTAATTTTAAGATTATAAGATGATACATATTTTTTCAACTCCTTTGCAATCATTTAAAATAAATGTTATTTTAAGACAATGAAATTCCTGTAAGACCAACATAGAACAGAATATAAACACAGAAGAAAGAATTTAAAGTGTATGATATAAATATTTGTCTTTAAAATTTCTGTAATCTAATAAAGAAAAATAGGCATTTAAGGTCAAGAAAGCGTACTGATGCTATAACACATCAATGAAAGTGTCAGGACTTATGGAAATAGTGGATAACTCTAGGACAGACTGGTGCAGAGGGTCTTACAAGGAACATTCTGGATCTTTAGGAGAACTTGATGACAAGGGACAAAGAGAGAAAAGCTGGAGTATCCTGGTCAACAGGGTTCAGCACTGCATCACCCCGAGCTTAGTGTTTTGCTTAGAGGTAGAGCCTGGGTTCCAGCCGGAAAGCAACAGCCACTGGTTACTCACATCTCCAAGGTCAGGAAGATTCTTTAGAAGTCAGTTCACTTAAGTATATTTCAACAACTTTAAACCAATGTATAATACATTTACTCTAATGTAAGATAAACAAAGTCTGGAACTCAATGTACAATGATCATAATTAATGTGTACTTTGTTATATATGTGATATCTCCTCACACACAAAGAAAGTGGCAACTATTTGAAGTAACAGATCTATTAAGTAGTTTGGCTGTGGTGACTATTTCATTATATGTATATAAAATATTAAATTTTATTTCTTGGAGTCCAGCTTCAGGTGAGATTGGGTCTCCGGCGGGGACCGCCCGCTCTTCCCCCATCCCCCTTGATCTAACCAAAACACAGAGGGAGAGCATGCTCATTAACAAAATCAGGGATGAAAAAGGGGACATAACAACAGACTCTGAGGAAATCCAGAGAATCATCAGGGCATACTTTGAAAATCTGTACTCCACAAAATTTGAAAATTTAAAGGAAATGGACAATTTCCTGGATAGATATCACTTGCCAAAACTAAATCAAGAACAGATAAACAATCTAAACAGACCTATAACCCCTAATGAAATAGAAGCAGTCATCAAAAGTCTCCCAAATAAAAAAAGCCCAGGCCCAGATGGCTTCAGTGCAGAATTCTACCAGAAATTCAAAGAAGAGCTCATTCCAATACTCCTCAAAGTATTCCACACAATAGAAGCAGGAGGCTCACTGCCAAACTCTTTCTACAAGGCTACAATTACCTTGATACCCAAGCCACACAAAGACACAACCAAGAAAGAGAAATATAGACCAATTTCCCTCATGAACATTGATGCAAAAATACTCAATAAAATACTCGCAAACCGGATTCAAGAACACATCAGAAAAATCATCCACCATGATCAAGTAGGCTTCATCCCAGGAATGCAGGGATGGTTCAACATTAGAAAATCTATCAATGTAATCCACCATATTAACAATCTGCTGAGATGACCACATGATCATCTCACTAGATGCTGAAAAAGCCTTTGAAAAAATCCAGCAACCCTTCATGATAAAAGTTCTAGAGAGATCAGGGATAACAGGAATGTACCTGAATATAATAAAAGCAATATACAGTAAACCAACAGCTAACATCAAACTAAATGGAGAGAAACTCAAAGCAATTCCTTTAAAATCAGGAACAAGACAAGGCTGTCCACTCTCTCCACATCTCTTCAATATTGTACTTGAAGTTCTAGCTACAGCAATAAGACAACAAAAGGAGATAAAGGGGATACAAATAGGAAAAGAAGAAGTCAAACTTTCACTATTTGCAGATGATATGATAGTTTACATAAGTGACCCAAAAAACTCCGCAAGGTTACTCCTAGAGCTGATAAACACCTTCAGCAATGTGGCAGGATACAAGGTAAACTCAAAAAATCAGTGGCCCTATTATATACAGATGATGAAGTGACTGAGAAAGAAATCAGAGAAACATCACCCTTTACAATAGCCAAAAACAGCATCAGATATCTGGGGATAATGTTAACCAAGGAAATTAAAGTCCTGTATATCAAGAACTTTGTGTCTTTAAAGAAAGAAATTAAAGAAGATATCAGAAAATGGAAAGATCTCCCATGCTCTTGGATTGGTAGGATCAACATAATAAAAATGGCAATCTTGCCAAAAGCAGTCTACAGATTTAATGCAATCCCTATCAAAATTACATCACAATTCTTCAAGGACCTGGAAAGAACATTAATCAACTTTATATGGAAAAACAAAAGGCCCAGGATAGCGAAAACATCCCTATACAATAAAGGAACTTCAGGAGGCATCACCATACCTGACTTCAAGCTCTATTATAGAGCTAGTCCTGAAAACAGCTTGGTATTGGCACAAAAATAGGCAGGTAGACCAATGAAACCGAATTGAAAGCTCTAATTTTAACCCACACACCTATGAACACTTGATTTTTGACAAAGAAGCTAAAACTGTACAATGGAAAAAAGAAAGCATCTTCAACAAATGGTGCTGGCATAACTGGGTACTGGTATGCAGAAGACTGCAGATACATCCATGTTTATCACCTTGTACAAAACTTAAGTCCAAATGGATCAAAGATCTCAACATAAATCCAGCCACACTGAAAC